TATGTTCGAAAGATCCTACACAAATGCATTACCTGCCGAAGGTTTGATGGAAAGCCATTTAATGTGAACACTTAATATTAATACTTGACCAAAGTTAATTCAAATTTCATATTCAGTGCAGGGCCGTATGTAGGATTTTAAAAGTGGGGGTGCAGCAGAGGGGTGGGACGCCAAAATAATGCCCAAGTTACCCATTGGAATGTGGGCGCCCTTAAAAAAGGCCGATTGTGTGATCATAATCAAGTGTATTATTTTATGATTGAAAGGTTATCAATTTTTTTATTATTTTTTTTTTTGGGGGGGGGGGCGCCATTACTCGAGGCGTCATATTTTTCTGGGGTTGCAATGTACCCCCTGCACCCCCGCTAGATACAGCCCTGATTCAGTGTGACTATAAATTAGTGATGATCTTCGATTAGAACAACCTCAGGTCATCAGGGGGGAGTGTCGGGCATTTACTAGTTTGTGAGGCCTGATATCAGAGACTAAGAAATACCTTATCAGTTTCTCTTACGGTTAAATGTGTGTGAAATAGCTTTATTTAACATCCGCTTCCACCGAGGTGATATCGCAGACAATTACATGGTCTACATATATACATTGTGAAATTATTTACAAATTAAAGGTTAAAGTTTAGTTTTGGTTTATATATTGTTACCGGGCTAGTCTCGATTATCAATATGTAGTTACAGTCCTTCAAAATAAAAGTTATCGAATCATCGATCCAGGGTTTTTATACCGCCACAAACAAAAATTCCCCAACAGATATCTGACGGGGCCAAATCTGGCATCAAAATTATCAGGATTTTCTTCAAAACGGCGCAGATTGTCACGGAACTTCAGGAATCGTCAGGAATTGTCATTCCTAACTCGTTGGCGATAATGTGCTCAACCCTCTCATGATAGATACCCACGTCGAGTGGTCAATCGTCGATCAGCCATCGCCATGCCCTGGGTAATGTTTTCTTGAATGGTTGTTGTTGATGGCCTTAAGTGGGCCATCGTCAAGGCTCTCTCTGCCACGCTTAAATTCCGCAAAAATGTATAGGCTAGATTATGTGATCAGAATTATTACTTAAAGGGGCATTACGGAAGATTAGATACAGAGCTGACAATTCTCGCTCTAATAGTTAACCAGCGGCTGCCAGGCAAGATACGCCCACATTTTGCAAAAGATGGATAGAGAACAAGCTAAACAAAAAGCGATTTTTCGAACAATCAGGGGACATAATTCAGAAAGTTACGATCCGATGTGCGTAAATATTTCAAGTTTCATCAAAATCGGATCAATATTTTGACTTCTAGAGGGTCCAAAACCTTGATATTCCATATATTTACAGTTACACTATTTGCGTATGGGGGGCGGCCATTTTGTCCGGCAGTTTTGGTCCAATTTTCACAATATTCTACCTCATTATGGTGTAACGTTGAAATATTCAAACGTTTTTTTTCAATCGGATAAAAATTGTGACCTCTAGAGGGACCATAAGCTAAAAACGTGACTTTTCGTACAATCAAGGGCCATAATTCCGGAAGTTACCGTCCGATATGCACGAATATCGAAAAGGACCAAGATCTTTGGGTTATAAATGTGTATTTCACGTTTCATCGAAATCGGATCAAAATTGTGATCTCTAGAGGGTCCACAACCCTGATGCACAATATTTTGACACTATTTGCGAAAGAGCGGCGGCCATTTTGTCCAGCAGTTTCGGTCCGATTTTCACGAAATCCGAACTCAACCACCCTTAGTATGTAACAGTGATATATTCGAACGTTCTTTTAAATGAGATAAAAATTGTGACCTCTATAGGGTCCACAAGCTAAAAACGCGATTTTCCGTACAACCAGGGGCCATAATTCAGGTAGTTATAGTCCGATATGCGCAAAAATCGAAAGGAACCGCGATCTGTGGGTTATAAACATACGTTTCAAGTTTAAACCAAATCGGATAAAAATTGTGATCTCTAGTGTCGACAAGCTAAAAACGTCATTTTTCGTACAATCAGGGGCCATATTCCATGAAGTTACATTCTGATACATGGCGAGATCTCAGGGTGATAAACCTATATTTCAAGTTTCATTGAAATCGGATAAAAATTGTGACCTATAGAGTGTTCACAAACAATTGTGGACGGACGGACGAACAGGGGCGACGACAATATATGTCCACATGAAAATGTGGGCATATAAAATAGATAACGTAAAGGGAATATGCTGAAAATTTCAGTCAAATCACTTCACTCTGAGCAGAGAAAACCAAATTTCAAAAACACTGTAGCCTCGATTGTCATTGTTACAATAATAAACAAAGTCTGGATTATCCATTTCTACGGTTAATCATAAACAGCCGTTGAATCGCAGATCGGATTCAAATATGTTTAAAATCGTACCCATCAGATGGTATCGGGTGTTGATTATGGTCTTGTCATTCTAATAAATGTCTAATTAATAGTTTATATAACATTGCAATAGGCGAATTTAGTCCAATTTCTGTTGGGTTTATTTTCAAGATGCGGTCTTTATTATGATAATCCGATTGACTCTTAAATTTTCTGGGCTTGTTTTCTCTCTTTCTTCCTCTATGAAATAAAATGGGGTTTAATGTCCTAATTTTCGGCACGAATTAGGCTAATGAAAACAAAACATACGCCATACAGTGTGCTATGTGGAAATTCAAATCGTGCGGCCTACTTCTATTACGAATTACAACATGGTAGGCCTACCTCTGTTTTTGAGCTCACCCGGCCTTCCTTCCTACACCACTGACAAGAGGGATACCACGCCGGATAATCCGGGTAAATTTCTCAGCCAACACCATGAAGCGAACCCGAGACCCCCTAGTTAGCGAGCCATTGCCCTACTTACTGGGCAACCGCGGCTGCTAGTTTTCTATGTCGTGAGAGTAAGGGGAAGGGAGGTCACTTGGTCGTGAGGGTGGGGGAGAGGTGCGATACCATACGCCATTACTTTGTAAACGTTGGTAGTTAGTGTCCATTAAGGCCTATTTGAAATTCGGATTTTTTCCATTGTATTTCACAGAGTTATTCCCCCATTTACATTCAAATTTCACTCGAATTTCGAAATTTTCAGATCGCTATTAAAGCGATTTGCGGGTTTCTCTAAACAGTCATATTTTCACAGCTAAATCCTGTGTACTAAAAATGGAATTCATTAAAACCTGGCGGCATTGTTCATAGGCCCAGTAATACGCTGACGTGCTCGCCGAGATCAAGACAGCCCTCACTAATTTATCCTTCACTAAGACTACTTACCCTTTACTAAATGCGAATCAGTGCTATGTTGTTTGTGCTTTTACATCTCCGATGTTGCAATGAAATGAAATAAAATGGGGTTTAACGTCCTACTGTTTTGCTCCTAAACTGGGCTAATGAAGACGGGCATACGCCATGGATACAGTGTGCTATGAGGGAAATTTTTCCCGGGCAGCGGCGCTACGGCCTACTCTTATATCGAATTCAAACAGCCAAGGGATCTTTTACGTGCACACCAATTTCAACACGGAACCTCGGTTTTTCGTCCCATCCGAACGACTAGACAGCTGTCCTTGTCAAGCCCTCCGTCCTGCATCACTGACAAGGGGAAACCACGCCGGAAAATCTGGATGAACTTTCTCGGCCGATGCAGGGATCGAACACCCGACCCCAATGTTGCAAATGTTGAATGTTACGTGTAGCGTATATTGTACATGGTCAAATGTAAAATATCTTGTAATACTGACAAATACAAAGTTTTTTTGTTCTGTGCATAAAGAATTAGCTCTATTACATCTACTTTTTGTCATTTAACATTTCACATATAGATTTTTCAAAATTTCAACAACACGCCTAACTCCATCTACCCAGTTAAACTTTGAACTCTGACATCTTCTCATATTTTGAGACTCGCACTAAGTATTGTACCCTTCAACAAAGTCTTTTGTATCGTAACACAGAACACGAAATCAGTCTATGCAAATTAGTTCACACGATACCTATTTTTAATCACGTGAGAAGAAATAAAATAGTTTTCAAGCATGGAATCAGTGACGGTATATTTTAACTACATAGAAATATATAAATAGAAATATATATTTCTATGATTAACTAGACCGATAACACCAATCTGTTTACTAATGACGAAGAGCCGATAGCCTGACGTTTCTAATATAAACAATATACGTTGTCCACTTTATTTTTCTTGTCATATCGTTTGCAAAATAATTACTAAGATTTGAGATTTTGTTTCCGTTTTTACCGTTCCAGCACAGTACAAAATTGTAGTTTTATATATTTTGACGCGTTAATAACACCCTGTAATTACTAGTTTTTACCGTTAACAGACCGACACTACTTTATTTTTAGCCCAAATCGCCTACCCTAATCATTTTTTTTCTTCATTTCCCACTTCTTTTAAATGCGTCTTGGCGCGGCTTCTTGTAGACAACTTCCAGCACAGTCCAAATCGGCCGACTTGGTAACGCACAAATTTACGAACTCGGCCATATAAGATGAAACGAAATTTAGGTACCCTTTCAATGAAGTCCGCCAAATCGGTTAGAAGACGGGGACTTATTTTTTAACAGCGTGTTGTGTCGCTCATACTGGTTCTAGCGAGGTAAGCAAGGTTTACTTGTTAAGAAAACTTGCCGTTTTTAAAAAGAAGTTATCAAAATTGCGTCGTTCGAAGCGTGTGTAGAATTTTTAGTGCAAAGTTGTCCTTGTTTGAAGAAAATCGGATAAACTTGAACGAAAAACAGCATCAGACTTTGAAATATTTGTATGATAAAACATTCTTCAAAGGCGTCGTCATGGGCAACGCCGTTGGTAATCCGAGAACTTGATGGTAGATCCAATGGCGGACTTCGTCATACAGCCGAGGTTAGATGTAGGGTACTGAAACTGCTCAGGTTTGCCGAGTGGGTCATCCAGCGAATTCCTTAGTGGGGGCTAGCTTGATTCGCAGTTAATGAAGGGTAAGTAGTCTTAGTGAAGGATGAATTCGTGAGTGCTGGTTTGATCTCGCCGACGTGCTTTGCAACTCATCATCTATAAAAGCTAAGCATTGTGGGTAGTTAGAGGAACAACATGGCTGCCGATAGTTCTCTTGATCTGCGATTAAAATTAAAGACCCATGGCGATGATAAACACTCTAAACTTTCACATAGACGAAGATCATCACATGAAAGATACGACACTTTATATTCTGATTCATATGAAAAAGTGTCCAGATATGATAAACAGAAGTCATGCAGCAGACACGGACATCATGGTGATGAACTGAAAAAAGTTCACTCAGGCATAGAACAACGTCGTTTGTTTACAAGTGCACAATGTGCAGAAATTGAGAAAAAGATAGATGATGTTGTTGCTAGAGCAAATCGGAATGAATATAAAGATTGCACTGTTGATAGAGCACCTCTGAGAAATAAATATTTCTTTGGTGAGGGATACACGTATGGCTCTCAACTTGAAAGAAAGGGGCCTGGGATGGAAAGGTTGTATGCAAAAGGGGAAGTAGATGATATTCCTGAATGGATTGAAAAATTGGTGATCAAGCCCCTGTATGAGGCCAACATAATACCTAAGAACTTTATCAACAGTGCCGTTATCAATGACTATTTACCTGGTGGCTGTATAGTTTCTCACATCGACCCACCCCATATATTTGACAGACCCATCGTCTCTGTTTCATTCTTCAGTGATAGTGCCCTCAGTTTTGGATGCAAGTTTTCCTTCAAGCCTATCAGAGTTTCTAAGCCTGTGTTGAATTTACCTATCTCTAGAGGATGTGTCACACTTCTAAGGTACCGGTACCATTTTCATACAATCTGAGGTCTTATTTTTCTATTGTTTTTTATATTTCAAATTTTGTTTTATTTGTCCTCAAGACAGACGACAGTGGTATCTGGAAGAGTTTTAAATATAACCACATGCTGTTTTGCTTAAGGAAATTAGACAATGAATTGGTCTGTTAACTCAAGGTGGTATGCAGAGAATTCTGGTAGTCACCAACTAAGTGGTTCGAAAACAAAAGTTAAAATATAGTCATATATCTTCCCTCTCTTAACAAACAAGATCTATATATCACTTTATATTTCAGTGGATATGCTGCAGATGATATTACACATTGTATTCGACCACAAGATGTAGTCAGTAGAAGAGCGGTTATTATTTTAAGAAGGTATGATTTTATATAAGTAAAACTTCTAGCCTATTGTATGCTCTTATTTTTACATAATTCATAGGTTAATGTTAAAGGTGGTTTACATAACAGATAGCTCTATAAATAGAACTTATGTAAATGGAGTTGTTTCCCATTACCTTTTTCACCAATCCTTTACAGTCACATTTTATGGTTCTCCTTTAATAAAATAGGATATAGTAATAGTACTAATGGAAGACTTTCTGAAAGTGTTTATATAATAGAATTGATAAAATCTGAATTCAACTGTCAATTAATTAAAGATGAATTATGTAAAAGCTAAATCTTCCTTTTGCAATGAGGTCTTTACGATAATAAACAATCTATGCTACATTTTATCAAAACAGCAAACATTTATGTAATTTGACTGAAATTTTCAAAATTCATTTTTTTATTATCTATTTTTGAATTACTATAGCAAAAACGGCCAGCAATTTATGTAATTCGTACATAATGTATCTTTAATGTATTATTTTTCGATTTCCTTTTACCTTTGATTTGTTCCCATTCATTTGTCCTCTTTAAAAGATAGGTTTTCAGGTAACGAAACATACACCCACAGCAGTTAAATCATCCGAGCAGTCGACAAGTGTTGTCGCATATCTATTCTTTTGTAGTTAATAAGGACTTTTACAAGACAATTTCATACAGATAAGATTATAATATTCTACAAAATAAAATAAGGGCCTTAACTCTGGAAGTAATTAACAGAAATTGTTGAAATTTAATAGGCTTCTTCTTTTCACTAATTTAAAATAAATGATGCATGCAAATTTCATACAGATCGGATGATAACTTGTCATTCGAGCATTCACAAGGTTCAACAAAGTGAAACAACAGCCATAACTGTAGAAGTAATTAACAGAAATTCAATAGGCTTCTTTGTTTCACTAATTTAAATGATGTATATAAATTTCATACAGATCAGATTATAACTTTTGGCGCTAAAGCGTTCACAAGGTTCAACAGGGCCATAACTCTAAATTTATTAACCGAAATTGCTAAAATTCAATAGACATCTTCGTTTCACTAATCTAAATGATGCATATAAATTTTATACAGATCAGATAATAACTTTTGTCGTTAGAGCGTACACAAGGTGCAAAAAGTGAAACAAGGGCCATACATGTAGCTCCAGAAGAAATTAACTAGGCTTCTTCATCTCAATAATGTAAACAGCATATATCAATTTCAAAACAATCAGATGATAAATGTTGTCTGTAAAGTGTTCACAAGAGATTGTGGACGACAGACGGACCGATTGACGGGGGTGACGGCAATATACAACCACATTTATATGTGGGGCGTATAAAAATGGATAAAAAGAAATGTGTCAAGTTAGTAAGTTATATTATAGATATTTAAATTTAATTACCCTCTCACAATTTGGTTTGTCTTTATACAGAGTTAGAGATAATGCACCCCGTTTGACACATCCTGTCAATTTTCCTGTCAAAGTGTCACAGAAGCGGAGATATAACAGTTCGTCTGATGATGAAGAGGAAGAGGAAGAAAATCGCGTGGTGATAGCGCCAAGGTCTTCGGGCATTAAAAGTCAGATAGTTTATCAAAGAAATAAAATCAATTCTAAAGTTATTTGTGTCAGTTCAGAAGAAAAAACAAAGTCTAACAGAAGAGTTTTTACTGTATCCCCAGACTCGTCACCTGAAATTAAAAGGGAAGTAAAATTTACAAGAGATGTAAAATGATGCATTAGCCTGTTGGGAGTTTTTTTTTTTTAAAATAACAATTTTATACATTCATATATACCGGTATTGAAATATATTAATATTATGCTCATCAAAATCCATTTAAGAAAGAAGACATACAAAAAATAATCAGTATATAATGTAAGACAAAAACTATATAAAATGAAAAAGCTAAAACTGTATAATTATGTTTATATATTTTATTTATGTGAAAGCATTTAGTTGATATGTGATTATTTCTATTTATCTTGTGCATTGTCAAATTTTTCAAAACATTTGGAGGATATAATGAAAACTATTTATATTAAAAATGGTAATTGTTAAATTCGATCATGGTAAAGTTAATATCCTAAATGCTTTGAGTATTATGGCTCTGTAGATTATCACTCAGTAACATAATAATTTCATACATTGGTTGCTTCGTTTAAATAATCTACATTTCAAAAATATAAAAGGTCAGTAATGTAAGTAAGTCTACTAATCAAATGTATTTAACGACTAATCATAACTTGTATAGTTAATATATTGTATTAACATTTAAAAAAAAAACCCAGATAATTAATTTCTCTTTCTGAACTGTACAATAATTGAAAGATATTGTAATAAGTATCAATTGATAATTTTGGTGAACCTGTAACTGAAAGGTGGTCTTCCTGTAACTGAAAGATGGTCTTATTCTCTGTAGTCTTATTTTTTTTTTATGTAGACAAGTAGCCTTTTTAATTGTTAGGTAGTACTATGGGTACTATTTGAATATGACTTTTTAGTTATTAAAAAAAAATATGTGTTAGCTATGTGAATGTCTTGAATGAGAAGCAGTAGCGGCAGGTGTTCTAGAAACATTAAGCATACCCTGTCTAATGCACAAGGCCTGGCAGTACTCATAGCTATGCATAAATTTTTCTGTCCTCAGTATTGTGTATATCATGTCTTTTATATCCGGCAACAGTACCATACCTTTTTCTTTATACTGTATATCTATAACACATAATATCACATCAATATACAAATGTACATGTGTTGTAAGATTAACAATACTATTTCTGATTCAACTATGCACTAATTTTAACTTGATCACCATTACTGATATGTATTATTTTAAGAACTTAAAGCTACTGTCGCTATATCTTTGGTTAGAAAATAAGTTGTTGTATATTCTTATGTATTCCTAATTCAAATGATTTTCACTAATCTTGTTATGGTAGTTCCTACTTGCTGCTTCTAATTGTCTGAGTGATACAAGATTTAGTGTGTAGTGATGGAAGTAAAAATTAAGATTTATACAAGATGTCCATGTGTTTCTGAATTTGATGCTACTTTTGCAACTAATTTCAAGAAATCTTTATGTTACACAGGAGGTGGGTTTTGATATATTTCGAATGCCGCATGTGGCATGTGGAACGGTTAGAAATGACATGTTGTTTTTTTTTGTTTTTTTTAAGATAATATGAAATTCAATGTACACTATATGATTTGCTTTTTGGGTGCCATGGTGGTTAAGTAAGAAAGAAGCTGGCTTGCTAACTAGGAGGTCTCCAGTTAGCTCCCAGTGTTGGCTGAGAAAGTTTGTCCAGCTTTTCCGGTGTGGTTTCCCTTTGTCTGAGCAGGACGGAGGGAAGTCAAGGACGAGGTCTTGTATACACATCGACATACACGTAAATGTGACAGTTGGAATTCAGCTGTAGCGCCGCTGTCCGGAAATAATTTTCCTAATAGCACACTGTCTTCAATAGCTGAGTCGGGGCAGAAAAGTACATTGTTAAACCCCATTTCATTTGCTTTGTCCTTTACGAAACTTGGTAACTTGGTAACTTGAAAAGTTCGTTGAATGGACAATTGCAACTTATCAGTTACACTGTTTGTCAGATAATATTTATTCATTACATAAACTTCATTACATTAAAGTTCCTTTCTGAATGACAAATAATTAATAATAGTATGTTTACTGCTTACTTTGTAATCAATATAATATTACTTTCAATCTATGAAATCAAAGCTAAATAATTAAGAACGAATTTCATAGCATACTATGTACTGTGTAATCATAATAAAACTTGTTGTTCCCTTATTATGTATTTTAGTAAAGGTATATATATTTTCTGTTGATTTTTGTTGAATGTAGCATCATTTGAATATTCATAATAATGTATCTTGTGTTATTGTTTACAAAAGAAGAATTTACTATTGTTTTGAGGTTTTGAATTATCCAAGAGTTTATTGTGAATGGTGTGTTTGATTTTGTGATGATATGAAAAATGTAGATGATAAGTTAAAAAAAATTGTTTTATTTTGAAAAAAATTATTATTTGTTCCTTGAATAGAATATGAATATATGCATATGTTATGAATTATAAATTTGACACAAGAAATTGACTTCAACCCTTCATATCTTATTGTTTATTGTATTTTTTCTGTCCAAAACTGTTCCATTAATGAAAATTTAAAATAATATGGCTTGAGTATTTACGGAGTAGATGAGTGTAATTTTTTTGGCGGGACATTGCAAAAATGATACCTTCACCCCATTGTACCAGTACTCTAAAAGAATTTTGCAAGAGTGCAACCCACGCATTCGGTACGTCACAGTCACAGTGCACACTATCCACAGCCTATGTTCTATTATCATCTGGAAAATTCAGATGTCCGCGAGGTTTTTGCTGAATAATGCTGTCAGCGAGGTTTATGCTGAATATTTCTGGCAATGTGATTGAAGTGGGTATATATAGGCTAAAACTGCTTGGTAACTAAAGACACTAAAGTGTATCGTGTTACACATGAACATACTCGGCTCAAATTTAAATACTAAGATTAGCAGTAGGCCTATTTTAGTTTTGTTTGGTTTTGAGATTAAAGAATATAAAAACTAGACGTATTTGAATGAGATTTATCACATTGTGGAGACCGGAGTCCGACTTTTGGGGTTCATAAGTTCAGCATTACATAATTTATAAATTCTTTGCCAATATTGAATATCATCCGCAGTAACCTCATAATTGACCGTTATAATATAGCCTAATTTAACACAGTAGTCTTTGTCATCCAGAAACATATTCTCCAAACTCCCAAATATTAGTCTGGATGTGAGAATAATAGGTCATAGACTAGATTATCCGGTCTTTTACATTATCATAAACAAAGCCTAAGGGAGGTAACTAGTCCTAAACAAGCTGTTGGCACCCATGAAATTAATTAAAGAATGCCATTTCAGAAAATCCATTTGACTGATTGCATTGTTAGTTCAATATCAAACACTCTTATTTTTTTTCCTCTTCATGGGCCATATCTGATTCATGTCTGTTTATATTAATGCAAGGATTATGGGATTTATTGCGGGAAGGGGCGCAAATCTTACCTGACTTGGCCAAAGATTACTGGATAATCAACCACACAAAAAAAACCTCCCGGTTACGCATGGGAGGTGGAACTTTTCGTCAAATATTGACAACGGTCCCCACCCTCCATACCAATCTGTTTTACAGACCTAATGCGACATCCGCCTCCGTACGTTGAAGACCAGGAGGTTCTGGTGATCGAGATTACTAGTTTAATCGTTAAGGTCTAAAAACCTCAATACATGAAAACGACGTGAAACTTTGGCGCGTATTGTGACATCCAATCAAAGCAATCATACGTATATACACAGATATATCACAGAGTAAAAATACTCTGTGGATATATTCATACATCTATTAAGTATTTGGGATTTCCCACTTCTATTTTGGCATTGTTTGTTTAAAACATTAATTCATACAGTCGCCGATGCATATTTTGAGACTGAGTACACTTATTTTGAGACTGACTATTCTATGTTATTACCCCCTTCCCCACATTTACGCCCCTGTAAAGAGCAACTCTGTATTTGGAACTGTATATGATAAGAAGAGATGACTAACGAAACATGATAATGGATGATCATATCATGAAAGTTATATCAGGTTACACATTTGAAATACAATCATGATGTGCTTATTTCAATTACCTTTTACCCGACTCCTTCCTGAACATTTTGTGCATATTTCCGTCGGAAAACTTCCTCATTCCCTCCTCTTGACTATACCTTAATATGTTAATAATTACAAAGCTGTACTTGGCACCATCAAGAATTTATGTTTCAAAATGACACATGACTTTAATGCGATAAAAATGGACAAACCAAATAAGAACAAATATACTTTTCATAAAATGAGCTTTTCCCAGGTATAATGTATTTCAGACCTTTTACTCCCTATAAACTTACCCTGTCTGTCTAAAAGAACAGACACAAATCGGCGATTTTTAGTCGAAAACACGAGGAAACATTTAGAATTTAATCCACTTCCATTTAATAAAATTGAAAAGGTTGATTTGATCTTTGTGTGTATGACATGTGAACTGAGTAGAACCACATTACAATTTTTTTAGTCGAAAGCACTAAGCAACTTCATGAATTTTGAGAAGTATTCATGTGACATGAGAAACCAGGTAGAATCACATTACAAAATAGTATACTATTTTTTGATATGTTGGCCATCCAGGGCAGAGATCTATTCTCGAAGTAAAAAGTTCTCTGTGTGCAGAATACACCCCTCCCCCACCCACATACACCCACACACACCCACACACACCCAGTCACTGATAGACACGCTCCAGTTTTGGCTTACCATATAATATTATATCGACCTCCCTGTTAAAAACCGACAGAAATTCAATGCTCGCCGAGATTTACCAGAGATTTATAAAAAGGAAGAGAGGGAGGCCAAGAGTCATAATTTACAAATATTATATTATATGTTCGTAAACTAATCATTATAATTGGCGATAATACGTCTATTATAATGATTAGTTTACGAACACAATAAAATTATAAATTTATCTGTTAATTATGTTAATTATTTTGTATACATGTACTTTAAACCGTAAAACGTAATATTTACATTAGACCAATGTAGTAAACAATTAGTTTTTTGTTTTTACATAATATAACGTTATCTTGACAGTTCTGACTTCAATCTCGAGTTTTATTGGTTTCACCTGTAACTGTAGGTAATTAATAACATTCCTGTATATAATTAAACATTATCACAAGCAATACATGTGTCAGTATTCTCATTTACAAAGCTTTGTATAACAACAAAAACAGAATTGACATTATTAAAAACTGTTAACAATAATTCTCAGCTAGCGGATTTGGACCGCTAACGTCAGGTATAAGATTAACAGTGTTGAGGGAATACTCTTGGAAACTTACCCAAAATAATTAGTAATTATTCTTTAATAAGTATTGTTAAAGTTTATTGCTCTACCCAATTACTTAATTATGTATAAGATTAGAAAGTAAAAAGATTTCAAGATAAATTGGCAATTTATTTATTGATAGATAATTGCAAACGGCCATAATAATGAAAAAAATATATATAATACATGCAAACGAATTACACGTATTTTTTAAATAAATGAAATTGTGGACGTACGGCGTCAGTCAATATGTGTCTAATCCGTTTAGCAAAGACATGACCATAATCTTGTTAATCTGTTTCCCAGGCTTAATGGATATAGAATGCAAATATTCTAAGCGCTAAAAGGAACGGAAATGGCTAGTACATGCACTGCCACTCCTGCTCTGAATAATATACGGCCTCTTTCATGACATTTTCTCTATGTCTCATAATCTGGTCACAAAGGTTTATAAATAGGAAGAGAGGAAGGACAAGAGTCATAATTTACAAATATAATATGCAAATGAACAAGGTAGTCAAACCTTTAAAATTACACATCTACATGTATTATTTTTGCTAGATAAACAATATTATTTTATTCGTACTCAGGTACAGTTAAATTATAAATACATACATCAATTACAAAAGATATAATACAGTACAATATTATACAATCGCAATATTATAAAGATTATTCAATCAGTACATAGATGGTGAATTATTTCACGTATATGTTCCCGGTTATATCTTTGTTGTTTGATTCTAATAAATATATCATACCTTTCACAGGGGCTGACTTTGACTCCGCAGCCAGGGGGTCAGGGGTTCAATCTCGGTGTTGACCGAGAAATGTTCCCGAGAATTACCAGCGTGGTTTCTCCTTGTTAGTAGTGTAGAACGGAGGATCTGACGAGGAAAAGCATCTAGTCGTTCAGATGGGAGGAAAAACCAAATTGACTACATGTCGTGTGTTCGTCTTCATTAGCCTTTTTGGGGCAAAGATTTAGGACGTTAAACCCCATTCCATTCATTCATTCAAGATATTAACTCTCGGTCAATTATAGGGGAGTCGTGGCTCAATAAGTGAGGGGCTTGGCTCACTGACCATTATCCGTTCAAATGTTTTCCCCCATAGAAAAATGCACATGCCATCTTCATTAGCAAATTGGCGCAGATAATGAAATTGAACCCCGTTTCATTTCATTTCTCTTGTCAATAGTAATGTCATTTGAAGCTATCAATATTCAATGCTTCATGAACTAATTTCCCCCTTTTTTACACGCCCACATTGAAATGTGGTCGTATATTGTCGTTGCCCCCGGTCGTCCGTCCGTCGGTCCGTCGTCCACAATTGCTTTCCGATAATTACTGTCAGAGTTATGGCCCTTGATAACTATGAAAAATCATGTGAACGCTCTAGAGGCTAATGTTAATATTCAATTGACTTTAAATTTATACACAGTGTTTAAGGTCATGAGACGCAGAAACCTTTTGATTTTCTACGATGTCCGATAGTTACTACCAGAGTTATGACTTTTGATCGCTTTGAAAAATCTTGTGGAAAGCTTTAGAGGCTACAGTTAATATCTGATTGAGTTTAAATTTCTACACATTGTTTAAGGTCATGAGACGAAGAAACCTATTGATTTTCAACAATATATCCGATAATTACTGCCTGAGTTATGGCCCTTGATGACTGAAAAATCTTGTGGGCGCTCTAGAGGCTAAAGTTAATATCCAATTATGGTGTTTATGGTGATCAGACGAAGAAGACCCTTGATTTTCAACGATTTCCGATAATTACTGCCAGAGTTATGACCCTTGATCCCTTTGAAAAATCTTGTGGATGCTTTAGAGACCATAGTTATCATCTGGTTGATTTTATATTTATACACCGTGTTTATGCCTATATATATATACTATTCAAAAAAAGTAGGGGATATTTGATTTTGGGGGCATAATACTAAAATATGCAAATGACTACGAAAAAAGTCACTATAGAACCTAACAGAAGAAACATTTCCAGTTACATGTGACGCCCAAACGCACCAATAGCTACCGCATGGAATGCAGGTGATGCTTGGGATCATCATGGGGGTCCAACCCAAGATTTGCACGACTCTGACTTTGAATGTTACAGTCATTGTGGCATTGAATTCCAGGGTGGAAACATCAGTTTAATTGTTTTAGT